CGTGGGACCCAATAATACTCAAACGGAGGATAAATATTAGAAAAGCAATGAAAACAAAGATGTAAATGTTTTGTTTCCTTTTGTGGATTCCATTACATGCATGACTCCGGTGTCTTAACATTAATTTTCATCTAGAACAATGATATGAGTTCCGTATGTATGGAGATTATATCTTCCTCTACTTTGTGAGTTTAATGCTATGATTTTGATTTGTCAGTCATGTATTTAGGAATGTGTAGTTCTAGATTTTCCTGCTACCTCATGGTTTTTTAATACAGTGCGGCAGGACCACATGCAATAATAAACGGCAAAGAAGTAGTGAACTTCACATCAGCAAATTACCTTGGTTTTGTGGGACATGAAAAGCTGCTAGTAAGATGAAGTTACTGCTCTATTCTAATTTTTGTTCGTAGTGTATTGATTAGTTGGTTATTAATTTTATATTTACTGCAGGAGTCCTGTACCAAGTCACTGGAGAAATATGGTGTTGGTTCCTGTGGTCCTCGTGGATTTTATGGGACAATTGGTATGATTTGACATGGACATTTCTGGAGCTCCTACATTGTGAATTTACCACATTGTTCTTGTTCATCTTGCATGTTTATGACATTTTTTATTTTTGCAGATGTTCACCTTGACTGTGAGACCAAAATAGCGAAGTTTCTTGGAACTCCTGATTCTATACTTTATTCCTATGGACTTTCAACGATGTTTAGCATAATTCCAGCATTTTGCAAGAAGGGTGATATTATTGTAGCGTGCGTATCTCTTATCAATGTTTCCTCAATGGCAAAAGTCTTACATAATGCAACATAAGTACTTCCTGGAAGTTTTGAATGAAGAATTTGTGTATTCAGATGGTATAACTTGTGCAAATATGTCATGAGCACCGAGGCATATTGATGGATAAGTATACGAGGGCTGTTTTATTTTTATTTGGAATAATTCTAAACTTCTAATATCATCTAGGTCTTCAATAATTGTGGAAACATTTCCCCAGGTTTAAATATTTAGGACCTATCTAAAGATTGAAATAACCTCCCAAGTAAAGATTTGTCATAGATTTGGGTAGACTGTGTGAAAGCTTGAACGAATAAAGTAGGCCATGAGGCACCATGGATGGATTAAATCTCAAAAATATCTCTGCATACTACAAACAATAGAAAAAATTCTATATTCCTATTATTTTTCTGTGGGGGCAGGGTGGAGAGGACAGTATGCAGTTATTGTACATAAATATGAAATTTTTGTGATGTTTGATTTCAGGTGAAAAAATCAGGAGAAAACAAGTCTGGATGTACTTTCTTATCTTAGTATTTAGTTGAACGAATTACTATATGCTTTTTCTAATTTCACTTTCTTATTTTTTTTT